CCGAATTTCGAGCCTTCCATCCAGAATACGCCGCCCCATGTCACTCAATCATCCACCCTTTTTCCTTTTCATTGAGTGTACTCAAAATTAAATCAAATCTTTGGAGTTCTTTTAGCTTCTTCTTCAACACAATACGACAAGAAGCTATAAATTTGTTCAAATAAACTACACCACGTTATGTGGCCGGCATCGCTACCTGTGGATGCCACAGCTCATCGTCCTTCTATCTCTCTCTCTCTCTGTGTCGCCACTTGTCTTATGAATCAAAGCTCAAACTTGATTATCAAAATCGCCAAACAATGCTCCATCTTTTTCAATCACGGACTTGCAAAAATCACCCAGGAATGAAGATTGGGGTTGGTTGTGGATTCAGTCAATTCCTCAATTATTTTAGCAACCATATCATTAGGCTTTTGAAAGGGCATCATATGATTGATAATGATTGGGAAGGTAGTCCATTAGATTTGGATACTTGGAGTTTATTTAACTTTATAATTAGCCACTGAAATAGAAGCCAACCAGCCAGCCAGCATAGAAAGAAGGGTTCAGTTGAATATCGCATTCAAATTCACCAACTATAAGATTTCCATAACCGACCTCATAATATCTTTGAATAAGACTTGGTCTTCTTAAGCCCCATTTCAATCATTTAAGCTTTTATGCTATACGACTTCAAGTTGAGATGATTTTTTTTATTGCTTCTAGGAAGATGAGACTCAGTTTGTAGGTTCCATAAATGAGAAAATTTGAACTTCAAGAACGTGCAGAAGTTCTGTTCAATCATTTCTGGAATTGAATTTATTAATATATCTTCGCTGCATATATTTTGAAGATCTTAGAAAGAGACATCAGAGCAGAGAGCAGAGCAGAGCAGGGGGTCGAAATTCTGAAAACCGAACACAGATTCCAACTCCACAGACGGTCAAATGTAACATTAAACGATGTAAAGAGGAAAAGACACTAATTTTTTGAACTGAAGCTTGGTTGGATTCAAGGGTTTTTGTGCTTCCTAGTTCATAGTTAATGATACCATGATACAAATCCGGTTCTCATCCCCAAAAAAAAAAGAAAGAAAAAAGAAACTGTCATATGGCTGTCTTTGGATTTATGCGATTAAACTACAAACATAGATCACACATTCACATGGGAGTTGAACCCGGTTCACCCATTTCTGAGACTCGATTCCCTTCTTCTGATTCATACCATTCAGCAGCGGGTTGGATTGGACAGTGCACCCCATACCTTATAATGCTGAATTATATTTGCAGCTTTATATATATAAACGAGGGATATAGTGGCAATCATATAAGTCAACGGTGCAAATAGAATGTACTTGCAAAACCCAAATCATATCCTCCTTATAATGATTGACAAACAAACGGTCTGGTTGTGGTGTTGTTTTTTGTGGTGTGTCTGATTCTGAATGAAACTAAGAAATATAATATCAAAAACTCACAGTTTTTTAGGGAAGTCTAGGTTGATAACATCTGTCCTCCCCCTATCCTTACCTAATGCACATTGGACTAAACAAAAATCATTTGCTCACTAATGTCTACTAGAGCTAAAGCCCATAAAACAAGGATTTGGGCTACTTAGAAGACAATTACAAAGATGGGAAACTGCATTTATCTACACCCTGATATAATGTGATGTCACGTCAGATATTCCCAAGTGAAAGGTGCATCTCTTTCCCAAGCATATCTTGCAATGGGAAAACAACGAGGATCTCTGATTTGAATCATCATCACCCTAAATGCAATCGAATTCAAATATGCTGTTCAGGTAAATTTCTGGCTAATGTAAGCTTCTTTTAGGCATGGAATAAGAGCAAGCGATTAATTGTCTGTCATACTGAGATAGAAAAAATTACCTGATACAAAAACGATCTATGTTGTATGACAATTAGCAATCTTCAAGATATTCTGCTAGTTTTTTGTTTTTTGGTTTTAGATTGATGGTCATTGTTCAAGAGAAGTGCATTTACATCAGTGGCAACACTATCTTGCAACAATGATTCTCTGTCGTTATCTCTCGTCTTCTTTCTACTCCTACAAAATTTAGTCACAAACATCATTAGATTTTGGGATTAATTAAAGGTCAAAAGCTCCCGGAATTCAGTATCTGCCATTTACCTAGTTACTGAACCTTCAACTGAATTTTTCTCCAAGCAATGGATGCTCCCTGTGTGAGATGGAACTAGAGATCCAGAGATGTGCAATATTTCCTCATCAAAACTGCAAGAATTAGTCCTTCGTTATTTTACATCATCAAGATATTTAGATTACTGAAGAAGAACAAAAAGAATCAGCAAATATGAATAAGAATGGCAGGCTATTCATCAGATATGAGCTTGGTGTTCCGGCCCTGATTATTTGGATTTAAGCTCCAAAGAATAACCTTAAACTAAAATGCTACAGCACAAGTGTATTTATAGGGAAAAATCTTACCTCTTCACCAAAAATCGTACCATTGTCCCAACCTTTATCACATGGTGCTTGTTAGCTCTGCTGACAAACATTTCTTCTCCATGTTTCTATATCAAAATCAATGCATAATACAATCAGGGCAAGATAATAAAAACTACCTTATATAAAAAAGAACATACCGAAAGGTATAAATGCTCAAGTATAATGCACAAAACTTACTGTTCTATGCTTGAATTCATTGCGAATGTCTTCATCGGTTATTACAGCAGAAGCAAAACCCAAGACAATAACATGGATTGATTCTTGCCTAAGCTTCACCACCTTTCCCTCTGAAGCAATAACAAAACTATCAGTAAAGCATCGCGATGAAGATTAAAAAAATTGCCTCCTGTTGGTAATTGACTATGTCTACCATCATAATGCAATGAAAAATTCAAATGAAAGCAATCAATACTCCTCCACATACTAATAAGGGTCATAGAAAACCAACCTAAAAGCATGTTCGGCTTCGGAGAGAAAAGTAATAGCTTTGCCTTTATTGTCACACCAAAATATGGATGCACTCCAGATAGAATCTTCGCACTTTTATCAATAATATTGGCCTCATAAGCCAGTAGGACACCTTCAAACCTTTCGTCAAATCTGCCAAAAAGATGCAGTTAATGATACAAGTTCATAGATATGTAACACATAAACGAACTTGAATGCTAATCAAATGGAGCAAAAGAAGCATCAATTACAGTTACGAGAATTCTAAACTTCGTGCCTTGAGTTCAGAAAGAATGAAAAACATCCAATATTCCCGAATAAATAAACTGTTTCCTAAAATCTAAAAAGTCACAGTATTTAAAAGTAGAAGAACTTACATTATGAGTTCGCAACACAGAATAGCACGCGAACAAGTAAAAAAACGCGGGAGAATGAAATCAACCTCTGTAGTTGCAAGTTAAATCGAGGCTAAAATCAGGTTTGTACTAGTCTAACTCTACCATGATCAGATATTAATAGGAACAAAGTAACAGTATGAATAACTGGAAAATATGGTGACTTCAATTCGTTGAGAGGCTGAAAGAAGTTGGACTTACTTCAGAAGCATAGCGCCGAGCTCTCGGAGCACCGCTTGCGAAACCTTCTTACTTTTGGACGGGTGAACGTAGATAACCAAATTGGCGTCGGAAACCTTAAGCCCCTCCATTGAAACGGCGAGCGAAAGAAGGAGGAGAAGAAGAAGAATAAGCTCGAAGCAAGGTAAAAGCAGCGAGAAGAAACACAATCGAGCGTATGTGACCCCATGAAGCCCTAGTCCATAACATAATGGACGACAGGCCCAACTCCGTATCTATTATGAAGAAAAGGGCCGAGTTTAATGGGCTCCGTAGTTTGGGCCTGGGCCTGAAGGCGTGTTTAGAATCGGCCCAAGATGGAGTGGTGCGAGGGAGCAATGATTGAGGAGGAGGAATATAAAAGAATAAAAAATTGCATGCTTATAGATTTTGTGAATGGATTGGATTGGCAATCGAGTATATGCGTAAATAAAGAGGCTTTTTCTTTTTTCATTTTCTTTTTCTTTATTGTAATTAGAATAATATTTAATTCCACGTCACCTAAAACCAAATCCAAATATTTATTATTTGTCAACTTATGCACTTCACTCAAAAAACAAAAATCCATTATCTTTTTGACCAATTCACAACCCTGAAAAAAGAAGAATCATTTTAAATTGTACCGTGAAACAAAATAAATAAATAAATAAATAAATCAGTGGAAAGAGGGATGCCTTTTTTATATATATGTTAATTAAGAACAAGAAAAAAAAAGAAAAAAAGAAAAAAAGAAAAAAGTGGTCGCTTAGAGACAAAATGGAGGTGTGTTTTGATTGTCCCCTGGAATGCCTACACACTTCACTGCTTCAATTCTTTGCTCTCTATTCCTTTGACTCCTCAATTCTTCACAATTCTCCAACCTATTCTTCCTCTAATTCTAATAAAATAAATGTCAATTATTAAAATTGATAAATGAAAAAGAAATAAAATAAGAGAAAATAGCAAAGGGATGGGTAAGGGGTTATGATGCGTCTACCACCAAGGGACACACAGTGGAGAAACCGTGCTTCCTGAATACATCATGGCTTATCATATACATGGCATGACCCATCAATCATGGAAACTCCCTTTCCAAACACACAAATATTATTATTATTGTTATTGTTATTATTATCAACATAATCACGCCCTTTTGTCTTAATTACCTGGTTTACATATTAATTATTTTTATTAAAAAAAGAAAAAGAATGATGAGATGGAGTGGGGCAGTAGGGTAGGATGTACACAAAAGCTGTAGAATTAAACAGTGTGGGAAAGGCAGAAGCAAGGAGACAGTCCATTCACAAGAAGCCACGTGTCGCTTTCATCACCCCTCCACCCTCCTGCGCCTCCTGCTATTTTGTCGCCAGTGGCACGCGCGAGGAAGCTAAGGTCAAGCTTTACCCGCCTCCAATTAAATTCCACCTTCTTTACTTTCTCATTCTCCTTCCATTCCATTCCTTTTCTCTTTATTTTGTGATTAAAAATAAACGGAGGGTTGGAACCGAGGAGGAAGACGAAGATCCAAAGGGTTTTTCAAATCCTGGCAATCCACGTGGCTAAAGTGCGCCTCTCTTACATTCCTCCTCTCCACCAATCAGATTCTCGTTTTTTTCCCAAGGACAATCTTCCTTCCCAATACCCTTTCTCTACTGTTTTCGTGTTCTCATAGCCTTTCTCTGTTTTCTCTTTATTTTTTCCTTCTTTTTTCCCCTTTTCATTTGCTTCTCATCACAGTTTAAAGCTGCAAGGGAATGCCCTTTTACGGGTGTGAGCCCAGGATTAGGATTTCAACCCATTTACTCTAAATAAAAGTTGTTAAGTTCTGGGTTAATTTAATAGCCCATGAATTCTTAGTTCCTACTGTGAACTGTGGGGAAGAGGAAGCAGAGGTTTCCATCGAGAGGTCGGTGTCTGCTCAACGTAAAAACAAGCACACCCAGTTGATAATACGCCTCAATCCATGCTCTTCGATTCCCGTGCTTTTGATTCCAACACACCCCTTTCAGCTCTACAAGCCCCCACCTACCAGATTTTGCAGACTCTTACCATTTTTCAGTTTTTGTTCCTTCCCTCTTCTTGCTTTTTTGACTCATGCCTTCTCTCTTGTTTTCTTCTTCTTCTTCTCTATCACTGTCCTAGTCATGGACTCCACCAATAAGCGCCACCCTCAATTCTTCACATTTCTTCCATCTTCTCTTTACTGAGGATGTGAACAATCCACGCTTCGTTCTTCTTTATGGGCTCTGTGGATGAGAAGCTCAAAACAATAGGGGGGTTCATTAGTAACGCCCCACAGCCTAACCTTCTCGACGACATGAAATTGTTGAAGGAAATGCAAGATCAAACTGGTTTGTTTCTTCTTCCTTTCCTAACGGAATTGTTTTCTATTCCGGCCATGCATTTTTTAATTGAAAAATTCTCCATTTGTTTGGGTTGCAGGGGCCCGGAAGGCTATAAACTCCGAGCTATGGCACGCTTGTGCTGGTCCGCTTGTTTCCTTGCCCCATATGGGCAGTCTTGTTTATTACTTTCCTCAGGGACATAGTGAACAGGTACCTACCAATTCTTTCCCTTTCTCGTTCTTCATCTTCTTATGTGAATCCCTTTTCAGCTTGCCATGAACATACTGCATTTGTTTTGTTATAACAGGTGGCAGTTTCTACCAAGAGAACAGCAACCTCACAGATTCCAAATTATCCTAATCTTCCCTCTCAGTTGATGTGCCAAGTTCATAATGTTACCTTACATGTATGTGCTTTTGTTCATACTTGCACTGCCTTTTGGATCATCCGTCGAAATATTATGTATATTCTGAAGAATGCATTGTTTTTTCCCCTTTCTTCATACTTTTCAGGCCGATAAAGATTCAGATGAAATCTATGCTCAGATGAGTCTTCAACCGGTGAACTCCGTAAGAATATGTTTATTTAGTTTTGCTCTTCTGGGTCACCTCTGAATTTGTATTATTGTTTATACCAACGTCTTTTTTTCACATTCAAATAGGAAAAAGATGTCTTCATAGTTCCGGACTTTGGACTACGGCCAAGTAAACATCCAAACGAGTTCTTCTGTAAAACTTTGACTGCCAGTGACACCAGCACTCATGGTGGGTTTTCAGTGCCACGCAGAGCTGCTGAAAAGCTCTTTCCTCCATTGGTAAGGATTCAAGTCCATGCCATTTCTTGTTAATATTTACTTCCATTTTCTTAACATTACCATTCTGGTTAATCTTCAAACAGGATTACACAATGCAACCACCAACTCAAGAGCTCGTTGTCCGTGATTTGCACGACAATACCTGGACTTTTCGCCACATATATCGGGGTATGGTTCGATATCATTATTGGTTTTTTCGAACTATGATCTACCATTCATAATGTGAATGAGGATTATGTTGTTTCCCTGATGGGGGTTTGCTATGTATCTATAGGGCAGCCGAAGCGACACCTTCTCACAACCGGATGGAGTCTATTCGTCGGGGCCAAGAGGCTTAGAGCTGGCGATTCTGTCCTTTTTATCAGGTAAGATATCCTCTTTTTGACACCTTTTTTTGGCAATGCTACGAAGTTTGAATCATTTGTCTTGTGACAATGATGTAGGGATGAAAAGTCACAGTTGCTCGTTGGAGTGAGGCGTGCTAACCGGCAACAATCAACGTTGCCATCATCGGTTCTATCTGCTGATAGTATGCACATAGGGGTTCTTGCTGCTGCAGCTCATGCTGCTGCTAATCGGAGTCCATTCACAATCTTCTACAACCCCAGGTTCTATTAACTTTCAAATGGCTCACCTTTAGAATTTCCCAACTTCTTGGTCATCTTTGTCATACTTTCTACGCGTTTTTTCCCGTAGAGCATGTCCTTCAGAGTTTGTTATTCCCTTAGCCAAGTATCGCAAATGTGTATACGGAACTCAGCTTTCTGCAGGCATGAGGTTTGGGATGATGTTTGAAACAGAAGAGTCCGGTAAACGCCGGTGAGTTTAATTACAAGTTCATAAGTTTTGTCAAAATATATGATCTGGGATTTTCTTACCATATTGTATATTTGGCGCAGATACATGGGAACAATTGTTGGAATTAGCGACTTAGATCCACTTAGGTGGCCAGGTTCCAAGTGGCGAAATCTCCAGGTGAGCTATTACTTATTACGAGTATTCACTGGCATGTTTCTCCGCCGCCACTCTGATAATTTTGTCACAGGTGGAGTGGGATGAGCCAGGGTGCTGCGACAAGCAGAACAGGGTTAGTTCATGGGACATAGAAACCCCAGAAAGTCTCTTCATTTTTCCTTCTCTGACTTCGGGTCTTAAACGCCCATTACACGGTGGGTTCTTGGGTAAGATTTGATCCTTTCTGCGGCTTCCACTGAACATACTAGTTTTCAGAATTACATGTTTTTTAAAAATGGGGTTCTTCCACGTTAGCAGGAGAAACTGATTGGGGAAGTCTGGTGAAGAGACCAATGCTTCGTGTTCCTGAAAATGTTTCATATGCGCCAACTTTATGCTCCGAACCACTGATGAAGATGCTACTGAGGCCTCAACTGGTTAACCTTCACGGCACCACTTTACAGCAGGACATGATGGGGGGTATGCAGCCAGTAACCAATCCCAAAATGCAGCAGCAGCAGGTTACATCGTCGTCTCCTCAGCATCAAAATCATCATCAGCCAGCTCCTTCGCCGTCTACTGATCCCATTATCTCAAATTCATCACCTAAAGCAAATGAACCAGGAAAAGTACAGGATTCGGCGGCCATTGAAAGTGAAGCTCCTACTGGAGCTGAGGCAGATAAGTCGAAATATGAACGTGAAGTTTCAACCTGTCAGTCTAATCCATTGCCGCCGGTTGAATGTGGGGAGGATAAACTCACTGGTAATGAAGTGAATATGCAGACGCTTGTAAACCAGCTTTCATTTGTGAACCAGAATCAGATCCCCATGCAGTTGCAATCCGTATCATCCTGGCCCATGCAGCCTCAGCTGGAATCACTAATCCAACATCCCCAACCAATTGACACGCCTCAGCCTGAATTTCCCAATTCAAATGGTTTGATTTCATCCATGGATGGCGATGGATGCTTGATTAACCCTACTTGTCTACCTCTTTCTGGTGTAATGAGATCACCAGGGAATCTCTCTATGTTGGGATTGCAAGAATCCTCAACAGTGTTCTCTGAGGCTCTTAATTTTCCTATACCCTCTACAGGTCAAGAGATGTGGGACCCACTTAGTAATATAAGGTTCTCTTCTCAAACCAATCATCTCGTCTCGTTCTCCCATCCTGATGCATCTAACCTGATCTGTATGGCTAATGCGAATGTTACGAGAGATGTTTCCGATGAGAGCAACAACCAGAGTGGGATATATGGTTGTTCTAACCTTGAAATCAGTAATGGTGGAAATACTTTGGTTGATCCTGCTGTTTCGAGTACCATTCTTGATGATTATTGCACACTCAAAGATGCTGACTTCCCACATCCTTCAGATTGCTTGGCTGGGAACTTCAGTTCGAGCCAAGATGTTCAGTCTCAGATCACCTCTGCTAGTTTGGGAGATTCTCAGGCTTTCTCCAGGCAAGAGTTCCATGATAATTCAGGTGGTACATCCTCTTGCAATGTGGATTTTGATGAAGGCAATCTTCTGCAGAATGGCTCGTGGAAACAAGTGGTACCGCCCATGAGAACTTACACCAAGGTAGGAATCTGTGGGTTTTCTACTAATTATCTTCCCTACTATATGGTATGGATATCAACCCAATGACTAGCTGCTATGTGATTACAGGTCCAGAAGGCGGGATCAGTTGGTAGGTCTATTGATGTGACAAGTTTTAAGAACTACGAAGAACTGTGCTCTGCTATAGAGTGTATGTTTGGACTTGAAGGGTTGCTTAATGACCCAAGAGGCTCAGGATGGAAACTGGTTTATGTGGATTATGAGAACGACGTGCTGCTTATTGGCGATGATCCCTGGGAGTAAGTTCTCTTATCTTGTTTCTTTAAGCCCCATGTTTGTTTCCTGAATTGCATGTGAAGCAACCAACGTGATGGGGATTGTTCTGCAGGGAATTTGTTAGCTGCGTACGGTGCATCAGAATCTTGTCACCTTCAGAAGTTCAGCAAATGAGTGAAGAGGGAATGAAGCTTCTCAACAGTGCTATGATGCAAGGCATGAATTGCTCCATATCAGAAGGTGGCCGAGCTTAAAACTTGGTTTGGTTGAACCAGAAGAAGGTCGATTCTTCTGCTTTGTTAGTTTAGAATCAAGTTTAAAGCTAAAGCAGTAAGGAGAATTGTTAGCATAAAGCCATCACCTTGTTGCAAGTGTGATTGTTAGTTGCCTATATTTATCAGTAAGGGACATTTGCCAAGCGCTCTAGTTGAAGTAGATTCAGTTCCTGCGAAATTGTACTCTTTCTGAATTCAGTAGACCAAAAAAAAAAAAAAAAAAAAAAAAAAAAAAAAAAAAAAAAAAAAAA